CCCCCCTTCCCCCTTCAAGCTATCCCATTCCACAAAATCCCCGTTCTGGAAGTAGATGGAGTTATCATTCACCAGAGCCTGGCAATAGCAAGATACCTCGCCAGAGAATCAGGTAACACATATTTGACTATTTTCTTGCTCTGTTCTACATCCACCTTTAACATTCAGGAAAAATACGTCCAACCACAGCAAAAACAGAAACAAACCAACAGCTTGGCAAGCAGAAGTCAACACCAGCATGGCAATACTGGTACAAGGGCTTTTCCCAGGGACAAACAGCTAATAGTTACTGGCCTCTCGTTGCATCTGTAGTTTCTCTGCCAGTGCCAAGTGCTGACCACAGAAATGCAGCATACCGTATAGGATGCTATTAGAGGTGCCACTCAAAGAGTGATGGTTTAAAAAGCACCGAGGAGTGCTGTGCAGTGGCATGCCCATGTTCAGTGGCTTCTCTTACCATAGTTTGGTGCCAATTTTGCTCTCAGGGCTGGGGCTGCTGGGGCAATCCTGAAGAGATCTCAGGCTACATTCCCTGTGGTTCCAAGATCAGGAAGAAGAGACAGAGCGAAGCACATCCGCTAGGATGCTGTATGACAGGATTAAGAGTCACTCAAATGACATGTAGAAAGTAAAAAAAACAGACACACCAAAAAAAAAAAGGTTAGAAGTAGCAACCTGTAGTGTGAAATGCTACAACGTTCAGAGCTGAAGTTGTGTGGCTGAGCTTCGTATTTACACTGTGTCTACACCTAAAGGAACACTCTGAAATAATCCCCCCCTTATGTTTGATTATGTTTCCCCTCTGCATACAATACCTGGGATTCGGGCTGTCTTCTCCAGCCAATAACCGTTATATTCACCTGTCACTGTGTACCTGTGTCACCTGTCACAGTGTGTACCTGGGGCTTCCCTAAGGCTCTCAGGGCAGTTTTCCCTGCAGCCAAACTTTGAGCTGCCAGGCTAACTAGAGAGACGACCAGGAAGAGGAGGTTTTTGGAAGCATTAGAGATTATCACAGTCAGCAGGCAGAGTGCTCTGAAGCAGATTTAGACAAGAATTCTGAGCTGGCAGAGAGATTAGATCAGGTGGTGACATCACTTGTATCTTTAAATACTTACATGCTATGGAGGTACTCATCTGGGTAGATGAAGTGATATAAGACATAGTAATGCAAGTAATCAAAGAGAGTAGTCAGGGTTTGCTTTAGGTCAGCAAGCTGCCATTCAAAGCCATCTGCAAAACTGGTCTAGTTGCGTTTGTGGTGTGCTGAACGTCAGCAAATTGAAGAGGGGAGCTGGGAAGTGAGTACTATTCTACTGTTTTACACTCAGAGCAAAGAGATGTAACCTGCCTTTCGAAGTACCTCACATTTTCCAACTGAGGAAATAGGCAGAAGCGCAGAGCGTTATTCTTCAAGGCACCAGCACAATGTGTTTTCAAGCACGTCTGCAATACTGCGTTCCTGCCAATTTCCTCCCTCCTTGATGCAATCTGCTACTTGCAAGAGAAGAGAATGACGAGCGTCCACCTGGTAATGAGAACCGATGAGAAAGCCTGCCTTCCACCCACGCTGCCGCCCTCCCCATCTCCTGTTGGGAAGCCGATGTGGAGCTCTGCTCCTTTTACAGTCTGAAGTTCTGATGTAGGCATTCCCTCAACAACTCGTCCATCGGCTTGCAACAGCCACAACGGCTAGGGGTCTGGGGCAAACCCACACCATGCTGTTCTCCTTTTGGTGCGAGTCACACTAGAGCAGGAAAAAAAAAGCATGCACGAAAGTGGGAAAAAAAATAAATTCAAATTCACGGTGAAAACTTGCTACTTCTGCTGTTAAGTCTGCATGTGTATCATTAAGACTTCAAAATTAAGAAACAGCATTTTTAGGTGCCTGCCAGCAACAGCTCTTTACTGAAGGCTCACAGAACTGCATGCCCAAAAGCAGAGGCACATCCCTTGCCTTCAAAAGCCTAAAGCAATAGGGAGATGACTTGGCAGAGAATGGGCATACAGTTTATAGGAGCCACAGAAGCTTCCAGGTGAGGCTTGAACAACTGAGAGAAGAAGAAAAGGATGACCTGAACTTGCACATAGGTGAAAATGTGAAGGCAGATCTGTGGAACAAGAGTGAAGGAAAAAAGCATTAGCATTGAGAAGACTGCAGGCAAGCCGAAGGTCAACAAGTGAGGAAAGCAGATGTGTAAACAAGACAAATTTTGACTAAGGTGCTTGATTACCATGAAGTAATCAAAAGCAAGCAGGATGTCACCAGAAGGTTTAAAATGGGGCTGAACGGGCAGGATAGAGGGAAAGAGAAACAGACTT